TTGCTTATACTCACATTGCTATACTTGAACAGCTAAAATACTTTTCAGTTAAAAATGTATTACAAGTATGTACTGATTACTGTATTACTTATTGAGATGCATTACTTTGACTAAGTGCATATGCTTCGAGCTCTGCCAAATTTTTTAGTTGCTCATCCATTATCTGAAAAAACATATCACTAGAATGAAGAGTATATTAATTTATTGGTGCTAATCCTCTTAACCATTGCTCACAAATTTGTGCAAGGGTCATTCTAGCAAGTTTATCAATATTTTGTAACTTTGATGCAAATTGTTGAACTGACATAGTTCCTTGTATAATTGTACCAAACAAAGCAGATTGTTTTAATGCATTAGTTATTGTATAATTATATTGAAGTTCATATAATTTTTGTCCAATTGTCATACCCGGAAGTACAACACTAGCATTTTTTCCTCCATTAACATTTGGAGCTGTAACTGCTATTCCAGCTGGAGCAGGGTGACCGCTAGCAATTGACCTATCTTCATCCCAAACTCCTGCAGGAATTATATTAGCTCCTGTAATTGTATTATCTCCACCAGCATTATTTTGAACTACTAAAGCTTCTCCATAAAATTGATTAGCATTAATATCAGTTAACCTCCCATTATTTAATACTTGGAATGCTGTTACAGTTACTACTCCTGTATTGTCAAGAATATTATTAAGTTAGTAATTTTGGTCTTTGTATTCATTTGTATACCAGATTAATGCATCACCAATTAAGCATGATTCATATAAACCATCCAATTCAGCTTTTCCACCAGCCTGTTCTACTCCAGATGTTACATTAATTTGACTAGCTATTGTATATCTTTTTAAATCTCTGATAAAGTCTTCAGGATCTTCTCCAGATGCACCGCTAAATATAGGTGATGGATATCCTATCATAGTTGCTATATTGTTTTGATTTGGATTATTATTCTGTAATGCAAAAATCTGTTGATTCAAATTTAAAATTAATTGCTCAGAATTTTGAGCCCGATTTTTCCACTTACCCCATTTAAGATCTAACTGAAAATCACTGAGAAATAAATTATCTCAACATATATCCAATCTAAGTTGCAATTCCCTTTCATGTGTATGATATCTTTGTAATTATTGAAAATATTATCAAACTTTAAAATTAAGTACCAACTTCTCAAGTAATAAAGTATTAATACGTAATTGTATTCCCATTTCTATTTTTGAGTAATTTCCCACCAGCGACGACATTCCTCCTATTTATTATTATAAGCTATAGTCATTAAAGTAAGATCATTCTGGGAATTGTCACACTCTAGTGTAAGCTAATTAACTTGATTTTGCAAAGCAATATTCTATTGCCTATAACCATTAACATCCTGCTATAACCAGACTATCTGATTATCTCTGTCATCATATTAATTTGTGATATCATCTAAATCCTGATCTTTTCTTTGATAATTAGCCTGAATAGTATTTAAAGTATCATATATACCCTGGATAATATTAGCAGGATTGTTTAATGATATACCATGCCCCCTGAAATGATTTTTGAGTCAATTTAATCCTTTAGTAATATTTACAAATCAATCTATATGTGCCATATCTGTTTCATGATTTTCTGAGTAACTATATGAATCAGGAGAGTTTCCTCTAACAGGTGAATTTTTTCATGAGTTGATTATGCTTGGTAAAAATCTTTTTTCAGAGATGAGATTTCAAACTTAAGCTCATTATTTTCTTTATTAGATGCTATAATAGCAAATTCTTTTTGAGAAATCTCTCTTTCACAATTAGTAAGATCATGTTCTAATCACTAAATCAATTTCTCATTAGCTTTATTAATTAAAACTTCATTAAATAATTCATCTTTTAAAATCTGATTGACTTGCTCTAACTCTAGTTCTCTATCAGTACTTGACATATGTAATCCATGATTGGGTCTGGATCTTTAAAATATTTTATTTTGTTAATATTAAACATGGCATTTTATGGTATAGCTAAATTAGAACTAATTATAGAAATTAATAAATCTAAGACTAAGAAAGCCAAATGAGAGGTAATATTATCAAAATTATACTATCAATCAAATGATTTTTTCAAACTCCTAAAAAAATGAAAGATGCTTATAAGAAAGCTAGTTATAATTTTCCTTTTGTTGACATTTTAAAATGGTATAAAAATCGACTACCTTTTTCGGATAAACAGCTTGACAAAATTTTATATCCAATTTATTATTCGATATTTTCTGATTCATGAGTATTATGAGAGAGATTACCTAAAGGTTTAGCTTCATTAGAAAGGGTTTGTAACTGAATTAATAATCAATTGATTGAAGAATTATATCGCAAGTTACTACGCATAGTATATGCCCATTTTACTGAGCAATGTCCAGATTATTTATATCAAGCTGATATTATGGAAATGCCAAATGATCGTAGATATCATTATGCTCTTTGTATTATAGATTGCATATCAAGATACAAGGATGGTCAGGTGTTAACACGTAAACTAAGTAGCAAGATTGCTATGACATTTAAAGATATTTATAATGATCCAAATTCTCTTCTTAACTGGCCAGTCATTTTGAAAGTAGGTCAAGATACTGAAATGAAGGATGAAGTTATAATATTATTTGAGAGCTATAGAACACGAATTGAGCATACTGAATCAGAACATTATGTATCTCTAGCCTTTGTAAATTTATTTCATAACCAGCTTGAGTGTTGCTTGTTCAAGAGAATACAAATAAAAGAATTGATTATTAAACATATTAATAAAGATTGGGTAAAGCTATTTCAACCAACAATTATGGATATGAATAATGAAAAAACTTGGCTCATTAATATGAAGCCTATAAATGCTCATCTTCTAAAAAAAGTTCTACTAAAATCTCGGCCAGCTCCACCTGAAAATAATTTACTTCTGTTAGATATAATGGTAAGATATGTACTTACTAATAATTATTTTTCATTTCAAAAAAGAAGAGCAACAGATTATCACTGGTCAAAAAATATTTTTCTTATTATAAGATGAATTCAAGAACCAGAACAATCTACACTTTACTATATCGAAGGATGAAAACACAGATTTACTCGATCACAATTGCTTCTTACAAAATTTAATGCTGATATCATTCATTACAATGAAGACAAGTAATTCTTATATTTTGGTGATAATTTCCTTCAGCATCATCAAGCCAATCAACTGAAAATGACTGTGGATGGTGCTTGGGATAGTCTTGGAATAGAAGTGAAACATGACATACTTTACAACATTTATCCTGCTAAATTGCAATTTCTATAATGTCCTTTATTGTGAGTGAAGGAATAGCATTTTCCTCATCATTTTCTGTTAGAAAGAGGGGCTTCTCGCATACTATAGAATCTTCTATTAAATCTGATTTATTATTTATCTCCCAGTCCTTGACTATCATAAATGGCCTTGGAAAATATTAGTTCTTTTTGCAGTCATCCAACTTGTAATATCTTAATTTTACTTCAATTATTTGTGGACAAGAAATTGCTTGAAGTTCAGTCAGCTCAATATATTTGAGTATATCATTTAGCGGTGCAACTCAGATTAATTAATTCATGTATCATACATGACTGCAAGCTGTATATATAGCATTATTGATTCAACCCTTCAGACTATGGTCTATAATAAAGTAATGTTCTGGTGCCTCAATTATTTGTCCTTGAATTTGATGAACTATTCCCTAGCCAGCATATTTCCATTCAGCAGGAAGTCTGCACAATATAATTTCAAGTGACACATTTACTATAGTACCAACATATGCTTCTATAATTTCAATGCTACCTGGAATTTGTACAGACTTTTCTTGAATATGATATTTATATTTGATACTATCATCTGGATCAAAATGAATAACTGAAGACTTATTTGGGAAATGTGATGTATATACTTGTAATAATGTACTTTCAACTCATATACCCATATCATTTGTAGAACAAATCCAGATATTATTTGGAGTTCACTGAGTGAGAGTATTTTCTCATGTTATTTTAGGTATAGCCTTACAAAATTCTAGTAATTGAATAATATTATTTTTTATCCACATACGTAATTTTAATATCTTGAGTTCATTATCTTGTGCACGATAGTCTTCTATATACCAGATTACTTCATCAGCCCATTTTGTAAGAAATTTATGTGGGCCTTCTTTGTCACCTCATGGTATAAGTTGGTCTGGATCACCACACATAATTATTTGATAGTCTCAGCTTTTAGCATAAGATAATAACCTCTGCAATACTTTTTTAGGTATCATGCATGCTTCATCGAAGATTAGTATTTCAGCAAGCATCTTCTTTCTGAGACATGCAAGATCCTACTCATCAATTGCAGTTGTACCCAAATGGAAATACTTATGATATGTCATGGCTATTAAGCCTGGATTTTGCTTTCTATGATACTTAGCAAGCAAGTTTGCTAGAGTGAGAACCATAATGTTTTGATTAGGAAATGTACGGATAGCTCATATTGTTTTTTTACTTTCTTCCTGGCCAATTAAGTATGGTTTTTGCAATGTAATTAATTTTGGATTAGTAGAAAGAGATGGTACTTCGCTTGGAGGAAACTCTAATATACCTTTATAATTAATAGTCCAGGATGATGCTTCTTTGTGATAGATATAATCTGGCTTTTTCTTACGCTACTGGCCATACTTAATTTCTGGAGTATCTAAAACTATTACAGATTCATATTGCTTTTTTATTTTATCTACTTCCGCATTATATCTTTTTTGAACCTCTTCTAACTCTATATCATTTTTTGCATTAGCAAAGAGCTTTTTATCAAAATTGATCTTAAATTTACTCTCATCTAAAATAGTTTCAGGAATTATTGTTGTATAAATTGCATCAGTACATACTTGTAATACATTTTTAACTGAAAAGTATTTTAGCTGTTCAAGTATAGCAATGTGAGTATAAGCAA